ACAAATCTAATTGATAAAATTCATAATAAATAAAAACAAAAATTAAATTATATATAAATTATTAAAAAAATAAAAAACACAAAAATTATTTTTGAACTTATTACAATAATATTAATTTGAAAATATAATAAATTATAATATAAAATAATTATAATTTTAAGAGGAAACATGTTTTTAATTCACATATTAAATTAATAATATTGGTTATTATTAATTTAACATATTACTTTACTTCAATGATAAATGTTTCTTACTTTTTTGTATGAGAATTATATCACTTTCAAAGGTAATGATATAATCATTCTCGATGGTTCAAAATTATCACAATGTAGGATCATCGAGTATTTTACTTATATCACTCTCTTACAAATTTGAGGTATCTTTGGTGCTCAATGAGAGTAAAGAAGATAAAATAAACATTACGTCTATAAATTTTGTCAATATATTGGATGGAATTTCTAGATTTTACGAACAAGTTAAAGGGATTGATTAATGTCTTAGTTAGTAGGTTATATTTATGATTATTAAATGATTTTTTTGGTTAATAATCATTAATTATTATAAATTAAACTAAAAATCAAATATTATTTTGTTTAAAAATACAAAAATAATTATATATATTATAATAGTTACATAAATTAATAATTTTAATATTGTTTAAAGATAATAATTTATAAAATATTTGTAATATTTTATTTATTTTATAATAAAATATAATTAAATTATTAAATTAATAAATATATTTATTGATAGATAAGTTAATTTTTACAATATAAATTATTTAAAAAATATTTGAATGAGAAAATAAATCTAATCTATTAAATTCATAATAAAGAAAAAACAAAAAATTAAATTATATATAAAATATTAAAAAATAAAAAAATAAAAATTATTTTTGAACTTATTACAATAATATTTGAAAATATAGAAAATTATAATATAAAATAATTATGATTTTAAGAGGAAATAAATTTTTAATTCATATATTAAATGGTAATATTAGTTATTATTAATTTTACATTTCACTTCATCTCAATGATAAAAGTTTTTCTTATTTTTGTATGAAAATTAGATCACTCTTTAAAATAATAATATAATCACTCTCGATGATCCAAGATCATTACCATGTAGAATCATCGAGTGCTTTTTAAACACAGTAATCTAATTACCTTGTGTAAATTATCATAATTTTTTGAGTGATTATCTTATACCAAAAATTACCTTAAGTAGTTTTGGGTATCTTTTGCAAGATTACCACAATAGTGTAATTATAGAAATAATCTTATTATCAAGCTGATCTTAACACTTGTGATTTGAAATCAATTTATTTGGTTAACAATGATTAATTCTTAGAAATTAAAAATCATTATGTTTGGTATTACAATTTTTTTTTTAACTTTATTAGGTAAAAGAAACATTCACATACTCTTTTTTCATCATCTTTATTCACCCACCTTGTATTTTTTCCTTTTTTTTTGTTCAATTAATGTTGATATTTTTCAGTTTTAGAGCTTATAATTTAATTGATTCATATAAATTTTTTTTTAAATCATATTCACCAGATCTAAAATTTAAATTACAACGTTTATATATATTTTTTTCTATTCTCACGTTACCATCTCCTTTGTATAAAAAAATGTAAATATTTTTCCACTCTATTTATTTCAAAACTCATGCCATCTCACATCTCAATATAAGTTGATGGTATAGCTATTAGCTAAGCAAGCAGGCCAGTAGCATTGCCTATTTAAGCGTTGGTAATGATCATATTACTTCTATAAAATTTATCACATATATTGGATGGAATTTCTAGATTTTACCAACAAGTTAAAAGGATTGATTAGTGTCTTAGTTAGTAGGATATATTTATGATTATTAATTGAAAAAATATCAAATTTATCATTGTCTTAGATCAAAAACTTGTATCTATCAAATCGGGCCAAAAATAAACATGATATTAATATTTTATATATTTATCTAAACGTGACTTGATTTAAAATTTAGATCTAAATTTATTAAATGGTATAACGAAGGCTCATCTAGGCTCATCTAAATAATTATTTTTCTACAAATAAAAACATAGTATTTTTAATTTAATTTTTAGTATTTTGTCTTTTTTATTAAATTTTAAAACATGAAATCATTTAACATATTTTTTAATATTTATATTATAATATTATATATTTATCTTTTATATAATATATAAATATAAAAATTCCTTATTAGGCTGACTTGTTAGCCATTGCAACTTAAAATTTAAACTTACGAAAGAAAAATGGATGAGAGTTAGAGATTGTCCCATCAAACATGCCGAAATTTTTTGCAATAAATTTTGAGTAAAAATTAGATTAAAAAATTAAAAGTAAATAATAATTTTATTTATTAAACTTGTGATATTCAAATCTCTAAAAACTTTTAAAACAAATAAAAATACTTTTATTTCTTTTCATGAAAAATCCGTTTCAAGAGTTGGCAAACTTGATCTTGAACGTTTGGGCTTAATGATTTGTATTTAAATACTTCAATTTCTCGAAAATTCTTAACCTTCGATTTCTTCAAATTTTCAAAACTTAATTTTTGAAACTTTGGATAAATATAAGATCTTCAAAAACTTATTTTTCTCTTTCAAATAGTGGATTGTGTCAAATGATTTAGAGGAGCTGCATGGTAAGAGCGGTTATTTTAAGAGAATTCAACTTCTTTGATTTTATTTTTAAATAATCGATGCTTAATTAGTGATAAAAATTGATAATTTGATGAAATTTAATTAGATGACTCATAAATTTTTAAATTTTAATTGGTTAAAATTTGGATTTATTTTAAAATTATTTTTATTTAATTAAAAGATAAAGTAGATGATCGTAAATGAATTTTGATTGATCACACTATGAGTCTTTAAATTTTGATTGGTCAAGACCAATAGCAAAGAAATATATTTAATTAATTATAAAAATAATTATATAATTAAATTAAATAATATTATTTTCACAGGGTGTCACTTGTAGATTTCTTAATTAATTAATTAAAGAAATTTCATTAAACATATGACAATTTGTAATTAGATAAAACTTTTTAGATAATATTTTTCTCCCTTAAAGCCAATACGTTCAAGATTTTTAAGATAAAAAAAATCTTTGTTCAATCTTATTAGGTAATATGAGATTGAGGTCTTAATTTCAGTTGCTAATAAGATTAGAAAAACAAAACTATTCTTTAAAATTAAACATGTCAATTTATATATTTGTATCGTATTTATTTTATATTAAATATATGTAAAATATAAAAATTATGATTAAAATATGTCATAGATTCTTGTATTTTTTTATTTTTAAAAATTTAATCCCTCTAATATTATATAAAGAAATTTAATCTTTATAGTATTATTTTTTTAAAAATTTCAGTTCAATCATTAAAATAATATTATATGAATTAAATTTATTAAAAATTATATATAATGATTAATTTTTAAATAATATTATAAGAATTAAATTCCTAAAAATAAAAAAGTACAGGATCATATAACATATTTTAATAAAAAAAATCATGTTTACATGTCAATAAAACATATTTCTTTATTTTTATAAAACTCACATAATTTTTTTATAAAATTTTAAATCATGTTATTTTTATATATTTTTTATATCACATTATCATGTTATATTTAAAATTATAAATTATTATAGCTACAAGTTAATTGGTTTCATTGATTAGTCTAAGCAGCTAGCCCCCTCCGAATCACAATGACGTCTAAATCTCTCCGTATCATCAGAATCTAATTCTTTATTTACCCAAAATGTAGGGATCCGGGTTACTTACTTTGTTTATTAATGAAGTTTAATTAGATAATAATAATAATAAAAAAAAAAAAACAATCTTCAACTTATCTTTATTGTCGCCTCTTCACGGTTCATCTCTGTACTACCAAACAAAGATTTTAAAAATCTTGACTAACATCTCGAACAAATCTTGGGCTAAACCCACTGGAAGGTAACGAACATCGTATTTAAATTTCTCACTAAGTCATACTCTCTTCATAAAATAAAAGCACGTACCAAGACAGAACCTATAATAAAAAAAAAAAACTTTGTAAGATATATAGCGATGTTTTAAATATTTTCTTGGCCCTAGGTTTTAAGAAAAAGGTAATATTATTTTATATTAATTAAGTAATTTATTATTAATTAATTAATTATAATTATAATGGAATTTACATATTATTTAATTAATTATAATTAATATTAACAATGCAAATAAATAATTAATAATAAATAAAATTCAATAATATTACAAATAATTAAATAATATTAAAATTAAAAATTAATATTATTTTAATTAATTGGTATTATTATTAATTAATATTAATTAAGTATTAAATCATTAATATTATTCTAACATTATTTAATATTTTTAATTGTTCAATAATATTATTTTTAATTCCTTATGAACTAGGAATTGCAATTCTGAGGAGAAAGTCAAGAATTGCTATTCTTTATTTTCAAGCAATACACCATTTCTTGAAATAGCTATTTTTTATTAAAAAATTATCCTATAATTAGAATAGAATTGCAATTCCAACCAACCAAACATGTCGTTAAGTCTTCTTTCTTGAACTTGTCTTGTAACTTTGAAGCTTGGTGCAATAATCTTGGAATTTTGAAAGCTTAACTTTGCGGACTCTTCTCTATTGGATAATGCTTGGAACTTTGAAAGCCTAATTATTTGCAGTCGATTTGTTTTAGAGTCTTCAGTATTAGACTTTGCGGACTCTTCTTTATCCTGCTGAGTCCTCTCCATTGAACTGCTCTTGGAATTTTGAAGCCTCAAGTCTTCAGGCTTTCTCTATTAAATAATTAACAAATGACGCATGAGAAATTGTTTAAGTTTCAAAAAGAAATCAAGTCATATAAACGTAAAAATTGATTTCGTTGACAACAAACAAAAACTTTTTAAGATCTGGGGAGGACGTCTTATTATTTTATCAAACATAGAGCACACTTCCAGCAGTCCCGACTCTTTAGCAGCCAAAGGTGCTGATAATCGTCGTGGACTGCACCTTATTATAAGTACAAACCGTAGCATATAAAAGTTACATCAACAAACACACAACAATGAGGAACACCCTTTATTTCATCATCTTTATCAGAATCAATCTGTCCTTCCCAAACTTGGTAGATAGATGCTAGCTATTACTGTTTGCAGCAGCGATACATGTAATACATCTCCATTTCCTTGCCACATTCACAGCATTGTACCTTCCCTGGGATTTCCGAACTGATAAAAGGCAGTTTCAGTTGGACGCAGCTGTGCGGGATGTTCTGATCTTCCATGTAATAGTTAAGTCCTTCGAGAAAACCATGCTTCTTAGCATAGTTTTCCCAATCAGCGTATTTCCATATAATGTTCAGAGCTGTTTCTCCTTCCAACCTCACTATCACATCTGCTCCCTTACAGAACAAAGTCCATCCTCCTTCACTGCCATCGAAGGCAAGTATTTTCATAACCTCCTGCATAAAGGAATCATCTCTACTCAGTCCCTTGCCCTGCCTCATTTTTGTGTACAAGTACAACATGCTCTGCAGTCGAGCCCAGAAATGCCTCTCGGATTTCAGAACGCGCAAGTTGTGACTGTGCAGCTCTGCAGTCACCTTTCCGGTCCACTCCTTGGCGTTGTTCTTTCCCACGTAAACCATTTCTACAGTTACTCCAATCCTTGCAAGAACAACTTTTATTGCGGTAGTGAACTGCAGGATCCAGTCAATACTTCCACCACCGTACAAGCATATCAGTTTTCCTTCAATAATCTGACATAGTGCAAGGGGTCAATCAAATATAACAATACGAATCAAATGAATCAAATATTAAAAGAACTCATAGTACTACTAATTTAGACCATATATGCAAGCAAGTGATGGTGGATCATGTACCCATTTTCGTAACTCCGGATCAATCAGATCATCGATAAGGAAGTCAAGTCTCCAGCCATATCTGTTATGCCAGAGATTTTTCTCTTTCTCAGCAATGAAAGGAAAGGCCTCATTTCCCCACGTCCACAACAAGGGGAGTGCATTTTGGCATGTCACCTCACCTTCCGAAGTCAAGGACACCGCAATTGGATTCTTAATAAAATGCCAAACCTCCTTGATGTATTTAATGACTGCTGGTTCAAGAATGGCGGGCACATCAGTATACCATTTCATTGATGCTTTCAGTTCCAAAAACCTTTTCTTGTTGTAAAGCCCGTCCACAACTGGGAGCCATACGATTTCATAGCTCTCTGTCTTTTGGTACAACTCATTGAGAACTGTAATTTCTTCAAGGGAGATGTCAAGATCTGTTATGAGGAATAACACATGCTTGCTTCTCAGTTTCTCAATATCAACCTGTTTTAATTCAGAAGAAATTTAATGTTATACATTCAATTTGAAACACGGCTAGAAAATTACAAGGCATTTGGCAATTTGAAAGATCCCGGCCTTATTGGAAGACAAGAACCAACCTTATCGATACCATCGCGGCGAAGGAATCTGTCGAGAATTTTCACAATGTCTCCCCCTCCTGGTCTTTGCATAAGTATCAGCAGGGTTTTATAAGCATCTCCTATCTCCTTACCTGTGTCACGTTGTGGATTTCTTTAGATTATGATAAGGACTTCTTGGAAAGTAATAGTAAAAGGACTCACCGATATAGTCTTTGCATTGTTTTAAATGATGTTTAAGGATATCATAGATCTGACTGACATCATTTTCCAATTGAATTATCAATGTTTTCCCAGCCTCCGTGGTTAATGAAGTGTTCCTGCAATCAGACCATTGATTTGTAAATTCTTTTGATTGTGTTAGAAATATAACTGTTGCTAGCTTACTTGTTTCTCCAGCCTAAAAGGCTTGCAATTTGTACAACGCTGTTAATGGTCCAATATGTAGCTCGAATGATTTCCACCTTGGCTTCTGAGATTGGCTGGGTCTCTTTAGAAAAATACCAAGAGTGTAGCTTTGTCATGAACTTAGCGTTGCACTTTGCTAAATTCCTTATGGCCTGGACGAGTTTAGTGACTCCATCTCTCAGTGGGTTCAAACGTTCGATTTCTGGAACTTGCCTAAGGAAAGCCACAGATTTGGCAAGCGAATTGTTGTTGCCGCGCTGAAGAAGCAGCCAAAACTCCCCCAGATTCGCAGTAAAAGCAGCTAAGGCTAGCACCATTTTTGTGTTCCATGAATAGGTTTTAAGCGTTTCCAGCAGCTTTACTGTTGTTGCATGCGCATTTTCTCCTACAAGGCAATTGCATGATAACTACAAAATAGACTAACACAATGTTATATCATCACCGATCAAAGGAGTAAATTACACAAATACAATTCCCTAATTTTTTTGCAGTATTTCCTTTTTATAAGTTATAACATAAAAAAAATTCAAAATTTCCATCTATAATGTTTTAAATATGTTTCAAATCCATTCATCCATCAACACGCTGTTGCATTAAGGAAGAAATTTGTCACATTTATGTCTACTTAGGGTCCATTTTGATGACTGACATTAACTCTAATTCAAATCCATTCATCCATCAACACGCTGTTGATTAAAAACAATGCAATCCAAATGCAGCCTTAGATAAGTGGCCTATGTCAAGTGTCCAAATTTATCCATGTTTCATCCGCACTTTAATGGAATAGTGATATATAAGGATGAATATGGAATAAATTCAAAATTAAGTTTACAAAATATTAAAAGAAAACTAGGAAACGCTAATTTGTAAGGAGCGTATTTCAAAGGTGCTGTCTGACTCTTTGATGTAGATGATTAGGGTTGTTGGATCTTGTATAAGGGATCTTTCATTTGAGGAATAGTTAGGAATGCTATCAGCTTGTGATGCTTAAGTAGTCGTTGAAAAATTTGAAGGAGATGAAAAAGAAGAGGCTGATCTGTGACAGGATAAAGCTGGTTAGGGTCTTGTTTTGAAGGCTTGATTTGGTGATTCCAGTTTTAATTTGATGCAACTTGGTGACAAATGTGTTAGGCTTTATCTACTGCTTTCATGATCCTTTTGGTTTGGATGATATCAAATTCGAGGCTGGAAGGAAAGGTTATTTTAATGATGGGGAATCGATGTACTGGGTATGGCTTTTGGGTAAGAGTATGATGTTCTTTTGTTTAGCATGCAAGAGGCGGTAAGGTGAGGCTATTTTTTGTGTATTTGGCATCATCCTTCTTTGACTACTTTTATTGGTTCTGGATTCCATCTTTGGGTTTTAGGTGGCTTTGTATACTAGAGGATTTTCTTTTGGAAGTGCTGTCGTTAAGGCTAGTCATGTTGCTAGCTCTATCATTTTGGATATTAATAAAATCTATTTGGCTTAGCCAAAAAAAAAAAAAACACCAGTTAGTAGTAACATGACTGCACCAGCATTCAACAATGAACAGAGTCTAACATGACAAGGGGCCAGGCAAGAAAATAACCTCGCCAGAGACATTGAGAATATCAGCCAATATTGCTTCATGCATGCCATTATCAAAGGTAAGCAGGGTGGTGTTTTTCTTCAACGTAACCGTGCCTCCATGTGTACCCTACAACAACTCGAAAAAGCTTATCAACTAATATTGAAAGATCAACCATTATATATTTTAAAGATTTGCCCAAAACAATCAACTGAAGTAAATGCATAGTACTTTAACATTAAAAGCCAAAATAGGTAAAGAATTATAGCAATTAGCACGTACATTGATGACTCGGTCAACATCATGCAAAATTTTCTCCATGATGTGCATAATGGGCTGGAGATCAACTGCTCGGTCGTCATCTTTGACATGGGTTGCAAGAATTTCATTGAACAGATTTTCCGATGTCTTTGAGGACAGTGTGGTCAGTGTGGTCACTGTCTCCATATATTTGGGATGCGGTAATCAGGAGCTGTAGTGTATAAGCAGATAGCACTTTGCTTTGTTTCGGTTTGGGACTGCAAAGGCCTTTATATATAGGGTGGAGGTGGACATCAACTGTGCATGAATTTTTTTATAAAAAAATTACTAAATTTGTTAAGAATTTTCAAGGACAAATCATACATTAGGTAAGGTATAATGACATCATTTAATGAAGTCATATTAAAAGATTTCATTAGAAAAAGTGAAAAGATTTTATTTGACAATTGAAGGATGCATCAAGGACTCATACTGTATCCAATCAAAAGTTCACTTATACGAGTTATTCAAATAGTGATAAGATTGAAGAGAATATGATTTTATGAAACTTTCACGTCATCATATATAGACTTTTTTCATTTTTCATTCATACATGCACGTCAAACCTATTGATTTTTGCTGAAGTTCCAAGATATCTCCTAAAGAGAAGGCTTTAAAGAATTAAAGCTTTAAAGTTCCAAGGAAATCCAATAGAGAAGAGCCTGAAGACTCAAGGCTTGGAAATTCCCAGAGCTGTCCAATGGGGAGGACTCAGCAGGATAATGGTTTCAAATTAGTTCCAAGACAAGTCTAACACTGAAGACTCTAAAAGGAATCGACTCCAAAGAATTAGGCTTCCATAGTTCCAACCATTATCCAATAGAAAAGACTCCAAAAAATCAAGCTTTCAAAATTCCAAGATTGGTGTACTAAGCTTCAAATTAAGTTCTTGACAAGTCTAAAAAAGAAGACTTAATAGAATCAAGTCTCCAAAATTCTAAAGAAAACCCCAAACGAAGAAAGAGTTAATGCCACTGAATCGATAAGATGTAAATTCGATGCAAATCATTGTTGAGATTTATGACATGCTTTGATTATGTAGTGTGGGATAAGCTTCCTTCATCTAAACTTTTAACTAAAAAGAATGTTCAAGATCTGACTTATTGGTCTATATTTGAAAATTGTTTTATTAATAAATAACATATTATTATTTAATTTTAAGTTCAAAATATATTTTAATATATTAAACAATTAGTATAAAAATACTTTATAATATTTTAATAGTAAAATATTATGTGAATTGCCAGGTCATGTTACAAGATAGAGGTTAACTACTCAATTTATGATCTAATTATTGAGTGATTTTTAATTAAGAATTAAACATTTTGTTTGATTCAAATGAAGATATGTCGTTCTTAGAATATAACAAATTAGGATATTTTCTAATAGAATTGAGAATGTATACTACACGTGCCCTCAACTCATGTGTAAGAGTTGAATTATTTTGCTTAAATATCATTTTTGCTGATTTGGCAAGCCAACGGTGTCTTTTTTTTCTGACGTAGCAATATTATTGTCCACATTTCCAAAATGATAAAAAAAATTAATTTTAAAAGGTAATTTTGGAAAATTACAATTTAATTAATTTCTAAAAAAAAATTCTTTCTCTCTTATTTTCCTATCTCCTCCATAAATTTTCCTTCCTTTGCCTTGCTCGTTTCTCTGAAGAAACAAAATATACTTATTTTCATGGCTAAAATATTTTTGGAGTTTTGTCTTTGAATGTTTACAAATGCATGTTGATTAAAGATAAAAAATTGCTATTCTTTCTATCAAAAAAAAAAAAAAAGGACAGATGGTGTTCAGAATATTAATGAAATATTTCAATGAGATTTGAGAAACAAAAAAAAATTTTCTCTTTTAAATTTTGTTTGAATTTTTTTTTTTTGAAATTTTACGATTAAGAAAACTTAGAAGAATAACTAAAAAATAAATGAAAAGAAAACCTAAAAGAAAGAAGAGATGTTGATAAGGGACAAAATATGGACTAGAAGTTTGAAAAGAAGCAAAATATTTTTTAAATTGAAAAATGACACATCATTTTCATATGTTATATTTTTCAAATTTAACTGCAAATGTATATCAAGTTACATTTCCGTTAAAAATTTTTTTATATTATTATAAGTCGATAACATTTAATTTTTATTTATATAAAATAAAATATTTAATTTTAAATTAAATAATCACCTAAATATTTGATCTTAAATAAAACATTTAACTCAAGATAAACTTAAGCTAACTATAAAAAATTAAAGATATAATTTTTTGATGTATTTGATAATTCATTTTAATAAAAAAAATTGAAAATCTTAAATAGCTAATTTTGTTCTTAATTCTTATAGACATTTAGTTTTAACAAACCAAAATTTTATACATAAGTCAACTTTTGGTTCAAATTTTAGGATGAATTAGAAAGAGACAATTTTGAAATTCTAACTTAAAAGTAAAAGTGTTCATGGGTCCGGTTAAATATGAGTTTTAATCATACTTGATATTAATAGTTTATATATTTATTTTTGCTTGACTCGATCTAATATTTCATGTCTTAAATTTTTTTAAGTTTGGTCTAAATTAAAAAAAAAAAAATTTCAAACTCACTCATTAAACTTAATTTATATAATAAAAAATTAAAAAATTTTAAAAAAATAAAATAAAAAATGTACATATATATTTATATATATAATGTTTTAATTATATATAATATTATTTAGATTGAACTAGGCTGAATTTAGGCTTTAATTATTTTGTCTAAGGTCCAACCTCAACTTAAAATTTATATTCAAATCTATTTAACAAGTTTTAATTTATTGTTTAAACTCTTTTAAAATTTGAGTAAATCTTTGGATTTGAACGATTTACTAATCCTTAAAAAAAATCTATCAAAAAGTCACTAGTCCAAATTTTATGATCAATTAAATATGTTAGGTTTAGTTTTATTTTTTTAATTGAAATTATCAAATATTGAACTTTAGTCATTGTTTAAAAAAATTTTAATCACCAAAACTAAAAATCTAATATTACATAAACTAAAAACTCTTGTCATTGTACTTTGATTTGATTAAATTTTGTCATTGTACTTTTGTTTTTTTATGATTTTTGGGCCAAACAAACGAAAATGAAATATTTTGTAGAATATATATTTACAATAAGTTTTGAATAAAATAATAAATATGATGTTGACATTCCAAATGGAAAAAAGTATATAGATGGAGTGCCACGTTGGATTAAATTATTATTTTTTAATAAAATAAATATTTTTAAATATTAAATTTAAAATATTTTTAAAAACTAATTTTAAGTCATTTGCACTATACCACTAATTATCTTTTCAAACAAACGTAAAAAAAGTAATTAGTACAAAAAGAAAAAAAAATAAAGAAAATACTAACTATACCTATTCACGTTTGCTGTTTTCTTTCATTACTTTTATATTATATCAATGTTAAATGTTGGGTTTAATTTCAAGTAACTAGAGAGCTTATCATGAAAAATATTTTTAGCTTATATATTCTAACCTATCTAATATATTAATTTTTTAGAGAATGGAGGAAGGAAAGGGTGTCCACGTGGCATGTCATCTTTCCTCCATTATCTTTTTTTTTTTAATTTTAATTTTATTTATTATTTATATATTAATTTTGTAGAGAATGAAGGAAGTAAAAGGTGTCATGTGGCACTTCGTCTTTCATTCTCTACTTTTTTATTATTTTTTGTTTTTGTATTTAATTTAATTTTTTATTAAATCCATTTTTTATTTTTTAAATTTTTAATTGGCTTTTTAAATTTTATTATTTATAAATTTATTAATTTTGTAGATAATGGAGGAAGGAGAGAGTGTCCACATGGCACCCTATCCTTCCTCCATTCTTTATTTTTTTTATTTTTTTGTTTTTTTAATTTTATTTTTTATTAAATTTATTTTTTTTTACTTTTTAAATTTTTATTTGAATTTTTAAAAATTATTTTTTATTAGATAAATTTTTTAAAAAAAAAAATCAATAGAAGTAAAATTTATAAAATAATCCATATTCAATTAATTTTAATTTATATCAATCTAATATATATGATTTTTTAAAAAATTAAGATCAAATAGAAGTTTTTTTTTTTTCAAATGATGTCGTGTTGGAGATTAATTTAAGGTCCTTTGTCCTATCTTAGATGTCTCCATCTTTTTTTTCATTTTTTTTTTAAAGCTTTTCATTTTTTTGTTTCATTTTTTAAAAATTTTTAATTTTTTATTAGATAAATTTTGTAATAAAAAAATTAATTAAGATAAAAATAATAAAATAATCCGTATGCAATTGGTTTTGGATCACCCCGATTCAATTATTGTGTTTTCCTTTAATTCGAGATAATTTGATTGAGTTTTTTTTTTTATCAAATTTGGGTAAGAATAAGATTTTAAGTGTTATATCTCGACTTTGATATATATATATAAACTATATTTTATTATTTATTTAATTTTATATTTATATATATTTAATTAAAAATATAATTTAATATTTTAATTTAATAAATTTATATAATCTTTTTTTTGTCATTTTCTTTGTTTTTCAAAATTGTTTTTATTAGACAAATTTTGTAAAAAAAAAAATGTCAATAGATGTAAGAATGATAAAATAACCTATAAATGATGGGTTTCAATTTATCATGATCTAATCAATATGATTTTTTGAAATAAAGATTAGATTAAGTTTTGTTTTTTTAACAATTTAGGTCAATTCGGGATGGATTGGGGATACTCTACTCTAATCTTCCTTAGGATATATAAAAAAATATATATTTTATTATTTACTTATTATATATATATATGTATTATATTAATAAAGATATTAGTTAGTATCTTAATTTAATAAAAAATTATATTTATATATAATTAAACTATAATTTATATTAAAAATTAAATATATTTATATTTATTTCTATGTTATCATTCATTAAAACTTGCTATAAAATTTTTACTTTTCCGATATTTAAAACATAATTAAAAAAAATAAAAAATAATCCTGCAACTTAGTGCGGGTCTAATTCTAGTTAACTTAAAAACGGAAATAAAAAAAAATCATAAACCACTTTTTAAAGCGAGTTTTTTTTTCTTGTGTTCTTGTTGGATTGAAGGCAATTTTCTCACTATTATAAATTTCATTTTATGGTTCACATGTTATTCTTTTATTTATTTTTGTTGTTATTAGAAAATAATAGATAATAATTTTTGTTAATTTTGTTCAAAAAATTGCAAAAAATAAAAATAAAATAAAAAAATTCAACTAGTGATAAAATCAAATTGAATCGAATTTAAAATTTTAAAAATAATAATGATTTGAATCGGATTAAATTTGTTTTGTTTTATTTCAAATATTGTATAATAT